CCCGACCAGGTCGGGTTGGTTGGGAAAACCCCTGTAAACCGACCCAACCCGACCCGTGAACAGCCCTAGAGAGAGATTTGAGGGGACAGTTGAAGGACCTAGAAGAGGTCTTACTGAGGGAAGAAATAAGCTAGAGGCAGAAATCGAGGCATAGGTGGATTAAGAAAGGTGATGGAAATACTAAGTTTTTTTCATGATGTGGCAAATGGGAGGAGGAGAAAGAACTGTGTATCTAAGTTAGAGGTAGGGGGAGGCATTCACTAATCAGGATGATATTGCCAGAAAGTTTGTGGATCATTTCAAGTCGATTTACAAAAGACCCTTGGAAGAGAGGATGGAAATAGAAGGGGTAGATTGGCCAAGGTTGGATGAAGATCAGGTTAGATGGTTGGAAAGAAATTTTGAGGAAGAAGAGATTAGGAAGGCGGTGTTTTTTATGGATAGATCCAAAGCTCCAAGCCCATATGGTTTTACAATGGCTTTTTACCAAGATTGTTGGGAGGTGATAAAAGTTTACCTTTGTGAGGTTTTTAATGAGTTTGCAAAGAAGCATATAGTCAGTCGAGGCATTAATGCTACTTTCTTGGCCCTTGTTCCAAAGAAAGCTGATGCTATCCATCCTAAAGATTTCAGGCCAATTAGTTTGGTGACTAGTATCTATAAAATCCTGGCCAAGGTCCTATCTTTGAGGATTAAAGAAATCCTTCCCTCCATTATTAGTCAAGCTCAAGGGGCTTTCATCCAAGGGCGTTAGATAATTGATCAAATCCTGATTGACTATGAATGTGTGGAAGATATGAAGAGGTCCAAGCAGAGAGGCTTTGTTTGTAAGCTTGATCTTAAGAAAGCCTATGACTTGGTGGACTGGCAGTTCCTACTAGAGGTTTTGAGGAAGTGTAAGTTTGGGGAAAGATGGTGTAGTTGGGAGTCTGGTTGTGTCATCTCTTGTCACTATTCCATCCTAGTAAATGGGGTGGTGAGGAACTTTTTTCCAGCTAGTAGGGGTATTAGACAAGGGGACCCACTTTGGGTGATAAGTGGATGGAAAGTAGGCACAAACCGAATTCCAGTAACTCACCTTCAGTTTGCAGATGACTCGCTGATCTTCTGTGAGGGAGGCTTCGGTGAGAAGGTGGAAAACCTTAAAGAATTGATTAGAGATTTTGACGGAGTTTTCAATTTGAAAATCAATCTAGGAAAAAGCTGCATAGCCGGAGTAAATCTAGACTTAGAGGAGGTTGAGGCGATTGCAATTTGTCTTGAGTGTTCCATTTCTTCCTGGCCTTTGTCCTACTTAGGGCTTCTATTAGGGGCAAACCCTAGGAAGAGTAGGTTTCGGACCCCAGGCTTGGAGAAGATTGAAAAGAGATTAGCTGTGTGGAAGAAAAATTATATCTCTTTGGGTGCAAGGATCACTTTGATAAAAGCTACCCTCATGAATCTACCTACCTATTACCTCTGTCCTTGGGATACTATCTAGGGAAGCAAAGAAATTGGAAAAATTGATGAGAGATTTTCTTTGGGAACCGCAAGAAGGTAAAAAAGATCACTTAATTAGTTTGGGGGTTGTGGGTAGAAGCAAAGAGGAAGGAGGATTAGGGCTCGGGAATGTGCTTAAAAAAAAAAAAAAAAAAAAAAAAAAAAAAAAAAAAAAACTCAGCTTTGTTAGGGAAGTGGCTGTGGAGGTGGCCTTTGGAGCAAGATAAACTCTGGCACGAAGTGGTGAAGAGTATTCATGGATGTTCAGAGAGTGGTTGGGATGCTAGCGCATCAAGGAAGGCTAACCTAGCTACACCATGGAAAGCAATTCACAAAATTCTTCCGCAGTTCCTCAGTTGTGTCAAGTATGATGCTTGCTCTGGTAATTCTATTCGGTTTTGGGAGGACATTTGGACAAGAGATCTCCCTCTAAAAAATACCTTATTCCATCTTTGTGCTCTGTTTCTTTGTATAAAAAAAGAGGTGATTTCAAAATTCCTTCCGCTCTGCATTGTCTTGGGATTTTGGTTTCCATAGAGGGTTAAGGGATGAGGAAATTGAGTGTTTGTCTACTCTTCTTTGTCTCCTTGATAAGGTTTGGTTGGATCCCTCGAAACCTGATAAAAGGATTTGAGCCATTCACCCCAATGGGTCTTTTTCTTGTGGCTCCTTTTTCTATTTCCTCTGCCAAACATCTTCTCAACAAAGTTTCCCTTCCAAAGAAGCCTAATGTAGGCCGGTCCCCTCCAAGGTTATGTCTTTGTGTTGGGAAGTGTGGCATGGTAAAGTAAACACGATGGATAACCTACAAAAGAGAAGACCCGTCCTTTGTACTTCACCAAACTGATGCATTCTCTGCAGATCTCATGGTGAAGATTGTAATAATCTATTTTTATCTTGTAGCGTAACTACAGAGCTCTAGGTTTGGCTTCTATCTTTGTTTGGGTGTAGTTGGGATATGCCAGCAAAAGTAAGCACAATCTTTAACCCTTCTTTTATCTCTTGGCCCCATAAAAGAGGAAGGAAAATATAGAGGTGCATGCGAGCAGCATTGTTATGGACAGTATGGGAAGAAAGGAATGCCAAGATCTTCTAAGAAAAAGGAAGGAGCAGTCAAGCCTTAAAGGACTGCATTATGTACAGGTCGAATACATTGGTTAAATACTCTAGAATTATTCAACCATTTCTCTTTTACTAATTGTTGGAAGGGTTGGATGTTCGTAACAAGTTGTTCCTCCTCCAAGGTAAGGGTATTGACTAGCTAGGTCCCCCCTCCTCTTGGTTCTTTGAAGCTGAATTTTGATGGGAGTAGCCAGGGTAACCCGGGTCCCTCTGGGATGGGAGGTGTATTGAGGAATGAGGCTAGAGAGGTTGTCTTACTCTACTCTAGCCCTTTAGGTGTTGGGAATTCTATCCGAGCAGAGCTATTAGCTGCAATACAAGGAATACTTCTTGCAAAAGAAGTGGGCATGGAGCAGCTTCTGATTGAAGGGGATTCTAAGACAGTGGTGGATTGGTTAAATAATCTGGAGGATGTCACTTAGGGCTACAAAAATGAGTTAAAGAAATTCAAATGGCTGACAAGAAATATGTCTATAACAGTACAGTGGGTTGGGAGATCAGCTAATGCATTTGCTGATGTCTTGGCAAAACAAGGGATAAATAGGGAAACATTGTTCCGGGCGCAATCGTAACTCTTGTTTAACATCAACATTCATGTAATCTCTGTTATAGTTCATGTATTTGCTGTTTGGAGAGGCCGCACCTCGCTCCTCTAAGGGGATTTTCATGTAACCAATCTTTGAATTAATGGAAGATGATTTTATTTATCAAAAAAAACCCTTAGCTGGTGGGGACCAAGGAGGTCTAGTTACAGCCTTTAGCCGGAGCTGAATCAGCCACTTCCTTCCAATTCTGGTCTTCACTTTAGCTAACAGGCCTTCTTTTATATCAAATTTGCTTTCAAAGATCCTTGAATTTGTCTATGTCCATAAGGGGACCAAATTTGCTCCTCACAAAGCGCTCCTTACACAAACCTCACACTCAAAGAGCATTCATCTGTGCATTGGGAATATCTCCTCTACATGTATTTTGTAATTCATGGGGAGATGTTCCCAATGCACAGCTACAATGTGCTGTGAGGATGGTGCAAGGAGTGCTCTGTGAAGAGCAAATCAGAATTCGTCCATAAGGTCCAAAAAACTGCAAATTATGTGATTCCCCATGCAATCTTTCCTTCCTTAACTGGCCCTCTGAGATTCCAGCATTTAACATAATCTTCCACCAACTACAGTTGCATCCATCTGCCCCAAAAAAAGCTTTCGCCCACTGCCAGAGGGTTTCACCAATCTCACAGTAGATATAAGATGATTAGTGCTCTCCATTGCTTCATTGCACATGGCAGATGTCTCTCCATTTACCACCATTACCCTCCTCAAATTTTCCTCAGTCAAACAAAGAGATCCATGTTTAAATGATGAATGAGACTCATCACAATATGACATGCCAAGAAGATCTATGGCAAAAATTAAGGTGCCGTTTGGCAAGTCATTTTTGAAAGATCTTGGCAGCCCACAGACCGTTTGGTTGGAGGCATGTCTTTCAGCACGAAGATGAGACGAAAAAAGAGAGAAGCTTCATTTATAGCTTCCCAAAATAAACTTGAATCGAGCTTCCCACGTCTTTTCAGGGCGGAGTCTTTCAGCAGCTAGATCTTCCCTCAAACAAACGGGAAAAGACACAGGCTGCTGGGCTTCTAAACAGCCAATAGCCCACGCGGAAAGATGTGCCAAACGAGGCCTAAGCTACATTCGGCTTTTTCAATCACCTTGCATCGGTGTTCTTTTGATCCAAAGGAGTTCAAACATTAAAGATGGCACGTGTGAGGCAAGGAGCTAGGATCTTCTGATGCATGAGACATAAAATTCACAGGATTTCATACTGTCAACAAAAAAAAAATTAACTAAAAGTCTAAAACCAGAAAATTATAGAGCTATACACTAGGAAGCTCTTAATGTAAACCAAAACATAAACTCATGTTAAAACAACTAAGTATTAAAATAAAACAGAAATATAGCACATACACACATGGAAAACTTAGAACGGTATCTAAAGCAGTCTCCTGATGAGAACTGTACTTCACTTAGCATATGAAGCACATGTTCTCAAACAAGGCACCTCAAGGTGTGAGGCATTTATCTTACTCATTCAGGCATAAACCTCAAGGTTGAGACTCAGGATGTTTCCCTTTAAGCCTCACCCAAAGCAAGCCTCAAGGCATAAGTCCCATGCTACTTTTAAAACATTGATAAGTCAATATTTAGCAAAGGAGGTTTCATGATGAAATCACTTTACAACCCTAGTCCCCTGAATGAAAACCAACTCTACCGTTTTCCCTCCTGGGCACCCTCATGGTAACAGCCAATGACCTTAAATTTCCTCAGTGAAGGGAAAAAAATAAAGAATCATACTGGAAGCACAAGATGAAATGTTCCAATCAAAACCATCAACATGGTGCTTACACATGCAGAGCAGTATTCTGCCAGGTATTCTGCTTGTGATGGAATCCCTTCAGAAATGCCAGTACCTTCAAATCCTTCATAGGATTCTGCTTCAAGTTGGGTTGCGTTTATGATGTAAGGCTGCAGGAGAGGAAAGGAAATCAGACTCTTGTTGCTTCTTGAGAATTTGCACCATTACTTCCTAAGATGATGCAATCAGAAATTAGCATGAATAAAACAATTGTCAGAACAAAACAAAAGCCAGGATAGCTCCTTTCAATATCAACAATGGATGTTGAGAAAATGAGTAACTACCATGCAGCTGTACGCAACATCACACATTTGGTTTCCAAGAGTTGACAATTCCCAATCAAGAATTCCAATCAGTCGATCCTGCAGAATGGTGTAGCTCATTAGATGTGTTACTCCCATTATTACTTTTTAGTAGATTTTCATGAAACGTTTATATCAGTGATGATTTTCATTACATTACGAATCACTTCAAGAAGATAACATTTCATAAATTTCTATCTTATCTACAATTAATTAAACTCAATTACATGTATGATCACTTGTCATTACCACATGGAACTGAAGCAAGCAACAACCCAATGTTCAAAAGTAATGATGCCTGACCACTCAATAACTGATTTACATATGGCACAGAGCACTTCAATTGATAAAAAAAGAGTAATAGAACTCTAGAAGTACCAAACCTCAATTGGATGGAATACAAGATTATCAATCCGGAAGTCCCCATGAACTAAACCTCCTGTTGCTCCAGAAGAATCTTCAAGAGGAATATGTTTCCGTAGCCAATCAGCCAACTCTAGCATTTTTAGATTTCGATCAGGTTTACCCTCACCAGTGGAAGCAATATATTGTCTAGCCCACCTCTCTACCTAAAGAAAAATAAAATTCACAACCTGTTATTTCTATGATAGACATAAGATGTCCAAAAATAAACATTCAAAAACTAAATAACAAACCACTCAGCAACACATTTAAAATAGAAAAACAATGTGGATCTGAACCTAATTTAAAAGACAAAAATAGTTGAAAGAGTAGAATGTACTCAGCCAAACCAATGAAAGAAATTAATAAAATTACAAATGGATTTCGTTTTTATCCATTATTTGTATTATCAGAAACATAATCAACTTTATTAGATAAAATAAGAAAAAGTAGCACATACTTTTATGTTCGGTGTAACAATAGCAGGCATACCTTCGTTGGGTTATTTAGTTTTTCATTTGAATGATAGAAACATGTTTATGTTTTATTGGATGGTCACAAGAAATTGTTGTGATTGTGAACTCATGAAAACCAAATCACCCAGGCATGCACTCACTGGGTGATCTGGTTTATCCTGTTACTTGTATCATATGTGAACTCATCACTCCACATGTTAGGCTACCATTGTATTTCTTGATATTCTAGTAAGGTAGTTGATCCTAGATATACTCTCCAATTTATCATATGATAGCGGGTAGTTCAAGTATCACTTGGGGTAGCAACAACAAGCATGAATTCACTGGATAATTTGGTCTTTCATTTGATTTTTTTTTTATCAATAACACAATTCATTAATTATCACAATAAATTACAGAGAGGAAGACCAACTTGCTTATCTTCCAGCTACATCAAGAGCCCCAAGAGAGGAAGCAAGAAAGAAAGAGAACAGAAAAAGAAAAAAGTTAAATTACATCTTCGCCCAGAACATGACATCCCTGTCCACCCCTTGTTTAGCTAATTCATCAGCAAAAGAATTGGCTGATCTTTGTACCCAACTAATTTTAACTTCCATTTCTCAAACCAGCCATCTGAATTTTCTCTTCAAATTACTATAACTCCACAAACCACTATCTTCTTTGTTCAGCCACCCAACCACCATCTCTGAGTCCCCTTCAATTATGAGTTTTCTGATTTTCATCTCCCTAGCTTTCTGGACACCTTCCATTACTGCATGGATCTCAGCTCTAAGAGAGTCACCCACTCCAATTGGGCCTGAAAACATGGCAAAAACAACCCCATTCTCATCCCTGAAGACACCCCCAATCCCTGATTGTCCAGGGTTCCCTTTGCTACTTCCATCAAAGTTTAGTTTCATGAAATCCACAGGTGGGGGAGTCCAAGACACACTAATCCTTGCTTTAGTCTGGGTACAGCTAGCAATCTCACTCCACTTCCTCAGCAAGTCATCTACTGTAATATCTATGTTTTATTGGAGGGTTGCAAAAAGCGTTGTAACCATGTGGACCAATTGAAACCAAATCACCCAGGCATGTAATCACTAGGTGATTTGATTTTGCACTTTCTCTTTTGATTAATAACATGTTAGTGTTTTATTGGAAGGCCACAAAGAAGTATTGTGACCATGTGAACACATCATAACGCATGTTAGACTACTGTGGCATTTTTTGATTGTCATAGTAAAGTAGTATACCTTAGAGGTAGTCTCTATTTTTTCATATATTAGTAGGTTATTTTTGTATCATTTAGGCTAGGAAAAAGGCATGCATCATTGGGTGATTTGATTTTTCATTTGAGTTAGTATGTTTGTGTTTTATTGTAGGGTTGAACTCATCAAAACCAAATCACCCAAGCATGCAATCATTGAATGGTTCAGTTTTTCACTTGATTGATAGCATACTTGTGTTTCATCTGGTCGTATAAAAGTATTGTGCTCATGTAAACTCATCATTCAATATGTGAGGCTACCCTAGCATTTAATTGTCATGGTAAGGTAGTAGACCCTAGAGGCAATCTCTATTTTTTCATATGTTGGTGAGTTATTAGTGTGTCATTTGGGGTAGCAACAGTGGGATGCACTCACTGGATAATTTGGTTTTTCATTTGATTAATAGCATGTCTACGTTTTATTAGAGGGCTGCAAGTAAGTGTTATGGCCATCTGAACACATAACAACCAAATCACCCAAGCAAGCACTCACTAGGTGATTTGGTTTTTCATTTGGTTGATGGCGTGTCATGTTTTAATGGAGGTGCCTTATTGCCTAGTTACCTAAGCAATGGTCTTTTCTTTGAATAAAAACCAAGAATCCTAGGACAATTCCCTAGGTTCCATAGAAAGCAACAACCATCTTTCATTATTAACTGTTTATAATCTTCATAAAAAATGTATAAGCTTCATTTAAACATAGAAAAGCAGCATATTCTGGAAAAAATGGAAGAAAGAAAAGAAATTTCAAAAAATAGAGGGATTGAGCCTCTATTTTTGTCCTAGAAAAGGAAGAGAAGAAGATGATGATGATGAAAATAATCAACATGGACAAAATTTTGAGTTCTTTCGTTCTTACCAGTTAAGGTTTTGAAGTCTTTGAGGGACTTAAGACACTATACATGTTCACTGAACCCTAACAAAGAAGAAAAATTAAAAAAAAAAATAGTATTTTAACTCAAACCAAATATTTTTTGTGAAAAAGATAACTTTTATTGAAAAGGGGGAAGGATCAATAGTTGTCTGCACACTATAGCTCTAGAAAGGTCTTTGGACATTTGATATTTTAAATGAAATCAAAGAGATCTCAACAAGAGTTATTTGTAGTATCAGCACGAGTCAAACCGAATAATTTAGTTTAATAATGTTGGCTTTAATATTGTTTTTTTTTTGGAAAAAGGTAATGTAATTTTATTCAAACCAACACATACAAGCTGGATTCAGACCCAGAAAGGCAGTCTGAAAACTGCAGCAATTACAATCTCCACTAGGAGTTAGAACAAAATAAAACAGGCAAATTCAGACTTCTGAACTCCTCAGTAACAGACACCCAAGAGATTAGCTTGCCCACTGCTCTCTGAATTATATCTTCAGGGCTCTTAGCTCTATTACAGAAAATCCTACTGTTCCTCTCAGCCCAAATGGACCACAAGACAGCAACAGGAATGGTCCTCCATACCAGTTTCCCTTTCTTGCGTAGGCCTTTGACATTCCAGCAGTAGAGAAGCTCCTTAACCGATCTTGGCATAACCCAACTGATATTCATGGATTTGAGAAAGTGCTCCCAAACATGAGAGGAGAATGGACAGTGAATACACAAATGGTATGTCGATTCAGTAAGGAACCCACAATGACCACAAGATAAATTCAAAATTTGAATGCCCTGCCTCACAAGATTAGATCTGGAAAGACATTTGTCAAGGGTCATTGTCCAAATCAGAAAATTAGATTTAGATGGACTTGTAGAGTTCCATATCTGTGTAGCTGGGAAATCAGTGAGATCCAATCTGCAAAGCTTAGAGGCCAGGGATTTGACAGAAAATTCCCCATCTGGATTCCACTTCCAGCACCATTTGTCTTCCGAGAGCAGGTCTATCTTCTGCTTCTGAAGAAGAGTCATCATCTCCACAATCTCTTCAAACTCCCAATCAAAAAGATTCCTCCTAAAGAGGGGGGTCCAAGTAACAAAGTCTCCAGCCGAACAAAAGCACTCAGCTACAGATGCTTCTTGGTTAGAAGCACACTGAAATAGAAGGGTAAAAAACTCAGCTAGAGGCCCATCCAAGCACCAAGAGTCCTTCCAAAATTTAGTTCTATCCCCTTTACCAATCTTGACTAAAATCCCTTCTAGGAAGGCAGAAAAATTCTTCACGATACCTTTCCAAAGGGAGTTGCCCCAACTTGGAGGAGGATCCCTAGATCTCCAGTTGACCCACTCCACCCCATATTTACCAGCTATGAGGGATTTCCACCAAGCATTACTTTCAGCTGAGAACCTCCAGATCCACTTACAAAGGAGGGCAGAATTAAAGCTCTTCAACTTCCTTATACCTAAACCACCTTCAGCCTTTGGAAGACATACTTGGTCCCAATTGACTAGGTGAATTCTTTGCTCCTCTTCCCAACCCCTCCAAAGAAAACTTCTCTGAAGCTGCTCCAATCTTTTTGCTACTTTGTTTGGGATGGGGAAAAGAGAGAGGAAATAAGTGGGTAAATTGGAAAGGGTACTTTTTATCAGAGTAACCCTACCCCCAAAAGATAGATATCTTGTCTTCCATGATGCTAATTTCCTCTCCATTCTTTCAATAACTGGATCCCAAATCGAGGAGGCTAAACAATTTGCCCCCAAGGGCAAACCCAAATTTTTCAGTGTATAGAACACTGATGTGGTCCCCACTGTGTTCGTATGACTGTAGTTACCAGTTAGTTATGTTAGTTATTTCAGTTTGTTAGTTGGTAGTTTATTTCAGTTTATAGTTATTAGTTTTCTTTTATTAATTTGTCATGTAAGCTGTAAGGGTAATTCAGCCCTTTTACTTTCATTCGAATATTAATACAAATTGTAAGAGTAGGGCGGCTGTTGCGAGTCTCTCTCTCTCTTTTCTGAATTCTCTTCCTCGAGTTCTTCTCCTCTTCTCTTCTCTTATCCTCTTCTCTCTTTTCAATCTTTGTTAATTTCTCATTAAACCTAGGATAGATTTCAATCCTATTCGACTACTAAATTGAGGCGTTTACTGATGCAAATTGGGCTGGATCAGTTGGAAATAGGAAGTCTACTTCTGGATATTGTACATTTGTTGGAGGGAATTTGGTTATTTGGCTAAGTAAAAAGCAAAATGTGGTTGCATGATCTAGTGCAAAAGCTGAATATCGGGCTATGGCACATGGTGTTGCAGAACTGTTATGGACTAGGACTCTCCTTGGTGAGCTCGGGGTGAAGGTTGATGGTCCTCTCAAGCTGTATTGTGACAACAAGGCTTCCATCAACATTGCAAATAACCCAATACAACATGATAGGACTAAGCATATTGAGATTGATCGACAATTTGTAAGAGAGAGAATTGTCTTGGGTGAACTTTGCATTCCTTATACTCCCTCTGAGATGCAGGTTGCTGATGTTTTGACAAAAGGACTATCTTCAGTGAAGTTCCTAGCTTACTTGGAAGGCTAAACATGAATGACATCCATGCTTAGCTTGAGGGGGAGTGTTGGTTCGAGTGGTTAAAGTGTTGGTGGGCTTAGTTTATCTTTTATGTTTAAGTTCTTTAGTCTATTATCGGCCTTTAGTTATTGGGCCTAAACCTGTTTTATTTTTCTTCATTATATCTAGGTGTCCCATCACTAATCAAGGGTATTCTAGTCTTTTTCTGTAACTTCTTATTGTAAATATATAGAATAGCGTCTAGGGCCGGCTGAGACAGTATTGCCACCCATTCTCTAACTTCTCTTCTCTTCTTCTTCCTCTTCTACTGTTGTACTTCAGCAAACAAATTCATCAAAATAAAATCACCTAAGCATGCATTTACTAGGTGTTTTGGTTCGTCCTTTGATTATGTGAACTCTTTTTTTTTATCAATAACAACAATTTCATTAATCAACCAGAAAAATTAAGTACAAAGAAGGGGAGATAAACTTTCTTAACTCCCCCAGCTGGGCCATAAGAAAGTACTATGATTATGTGAACTCATTACTCCACATATTAGACTACCTTCGTATTTCTTGATATTCCTAGTAAAGTAGTGGCCCTAGAAACAGTCTCTAATTTTTCATATGATAGCAGTTAGTTCATGTGTCACTTGGGGTAGCAACAACAAGCATGCACTCATTGGGTTATTTGGTATTTCATTTTATTGATAAAATGTCTATGTTTTATTTGAAGGACACAAGAAAGTGCTATGACCATGTGAACTAATTGAAACCAAAATCACCCATATACGCACTCACTAAGGTGATTTTGTTTTAAATTTGATTACTAGCTTGTTTGCGACTTATTGGAGGATCACAAGAAAGTGTTGTATCCACATGAACTCATCAAAATCAAATCACCCAAGCATGCACTCACTAGGTGATTTGTTTTTTTTTTTTGTTTTTATTGAAAGATGGTTAGTGTTTTATTAGAGAGTCACAAGAAAGTATTGTGACCATGTGAATACATCACAACACATATTAGGCTACATTGGCAATTCTTGATTGTCATGGTAAGGTGATAGACCTTAGAGGTAGTCTCTATTTTTTTATATGTTAATAAGTTGTTTTTGCATCATTTAGGGTAGGATGCATTCATTAGGTGATTTGATTTTTCATTTGATTGTTAGCATTTCTGTGTTTTATTGTGCTGCTGCAAGAAAATTTCATGGCCATGTGAACTCATCCAAACCAAATTACCCAGGCATGCACTCACTGGATGATTTGGTTTTTCATTTAATTGAGTGGTATTTTTCTGTTTTATTGGAAGGTTGCATGAAAGTGTTGTGGTCATTCTGTTATGGACGCATTCCTCGGGAAGAAGTATCATCGCCGCCGGCAGCAGAAAGAACCTGACCCACCACCGGCAGCAGCAGCAGTGATTCAATGATTCTCACCCTACCCAGTTCGGCAACAGCAATCTCATCCAGATTAGATTAGATCATCTTGTTCTTATCTTATTGTTCTTATCTTATTCTGTTGCTCTTATCTTATCTTATCTTATCTTATCTTATCTTATCTTATCTTATTAGTGGATTATCAGATTAGGATTAACTTATCTTATCCTTAGCAAGATAGAACTGGAAGTCTCCCTATTCAGCAAGGAGACTCCCTWWGATTAGGACTCTTGTAATCTCCTATTTAAGGAGACMCCHWTWWTKRAWKRRGATATCGAATATTCAGTTAAAGAAGTGAGTTAGGAGAGTTGGTGATCTCTTGAACAAATCACCAAGGCGCCAAGATAGGTTCATCAAGAGCAGGAAGGAACAAGGGAAAACAGGAGGTTTTCCCCGTGGACCGACCCGTGACGAGATCCTATTCTCGGGTAGCAATAGTAAGGTAGTAGATCTACTACCCTAAATGACACACTAACAACCCTCTAACATATGAAAAAAATAGAGAGTGCCTCTATGATCTACTTACTATGACAATTTAGAAACTGTTGTGACCATGTGAACTCACTGCTCCATATGTTAAGCTATCTTTGTATTTCTTGATTGTCAAACTAAGGCAGTCAATCCTAGAGGCATAGTTTTCAAAAGTGTTGAGGTGAGGCTAGGTTTTTTTTTTTTGGAATAAAAAACCATGAATCCCAAGGTAATTTCTTAGGCTCCATTATCCATAACAAACAATAGCCATCTTTCACTATTAATTGTCTATAATCTTCACAAAAAAATGTGCAAGATTAATTTCAAACATAAAAAATCAACATATTCATGAAAAAAAAATGAATGAAAGAAAGAAAAGAAATTTCAGAAAATAAAGGGCTAAGCTTCTATTTTTGTCTTAGGAAAATAAGAAAAGAAAAGAAAGTGTGGAAGAAGAAGATGATGATGAAAATAATAAATATGTCTTGATAGGATAAAATTTTGAGTTCTTCCATGCTTATCAGTTAAAGTTTTTTTCTTTTTTTTTTGATCAATGCTTATCAGTTAAAGTTCTGAAGTCTTCAAGGGTTGAACCCTAGCAAATGAGAAAAATAATGAAAAAGGAAGTAACATTTTAACTTGAACTGAATAATTTAGTTTTGTAATGCCTGTTTTATTATTGTAATCTCAAAAAGTTAAAAATATAGAAGTATCCAAGAGCACTGTGTAAAAAATATCTTGGCAATTAAGAAGGGGATGCTCCATGAACGCAAAAAATATCTTGGTGATTAAGCGAGGCAGCCCTTCATGAGTACCTTATCGCCTAGGTGTTGCCTTGACAACTATTATGTTTATAGTCATTCTTCTCCTTGCAATCATTTAGCAAAATTAAAACTCCAAATCATCTAAATCTTCTAAAAAAGAAAAATTGACTCACCTGCCGCTTGCAATAGTTGCTGCGACGCCCATAACTTCCCAAGCCAATGTAGTCAACATCAACACTATGTAAAGAAGCTAAAGCTTTGGAAGTTTCACGGTATATAGCCATCCTGCTATTAGGGGTTATCCCCTGACCATAAAGAGTTGTAATATCTCAGAATGAAACCATTGCAATTGAATGGTGGTCTTAGGAACAAAGTTTAAATGCAATGTACCTATTTAGTGAAGAAATAATAAAATACAAAATGCATATAAACCATAAATTATAAAACTACAAAGTAGAATTCAGATGCAATATCTTACCGGCAGCTTGGGATCTAGAAATATCCGTCCTTCCAAAAACTCCATGATGTAAAATGCAGTTCCAATTATACTAGGATCGGTACACAAGCAGAAAACCTTAGGAACAGGAACCTGTGTATGAAGACCTAAAGCTTTGAGGACCTGCAAGGTTAAAATGCTCAAAGTTTAATATCCAAAATATGTGCAAGCAAAAGGTCGTATTTGCAGGAAATAGATCAGTTCCCATTCAGTTTGTGATTTTGTACAGAAAAAACTTGAGCGGAGAAAGAACGTCTGTACATAACAGCTAAAACGATAGAGGTTTGCACCTTTCAAATTAGTGGAAACAGAAAAAACATTAGTTTCTAAATACAGAGCTTTTAAAAAAGAAATAATGATAACTTTTGTCATATATGTAGTTTGTCCCGAAAATAAAGAAGCTGGCATAAACCGAGAGGTCCTTTTTAGCTGCACTGATACCGGTCATCTGGAGTGAATTATATAATACCCAAATGCACGTATATACGCTACCTGAAATTCCCGTTCCACAGCATGGGCAGATTCTAGCAACTTCCCAGGAGGCTTCTTTCTCAAGACGTACCGTTTCACAGAAGCTCCCAAACGGACTTCCATTAGAAACGTTGGATTGGACTGCCCATGCCCAAACTGAAGTCCAGACAGATAATAGATCAGTGTTTTGCATACTCAAATGAATTTACTTTACTACTACACAAATATTTTTGACAAAAGAAATTTTGAGAGAAAGAGACAGACAGAGAGAGAGAGTGATGAATCAAAGCAAAAACTGACCTGCAAAACAAAGAGTTTGGCAGGTGGAGGAGGGAATCCTTCGACATGGGCACAAGCGTAACGAAACAGAGCATCAACGTCAAACCCTTGAGCAGACTTTACGCCGACGAGAAGATCGGAGGTACGGATTGCCATATATCAGATAAGCCTTTTCCTCTGACAAAGCTCTAGCTCTGCAATCCCAACCCTGTAAAATTAACCCTAATTCGGGTATTATGTGAGTAGATTATAGATAATATGGAGTGTTCCTTTTTTTTCCTACCTCGGGTAGTATGAGTACGAGACGAAAAGAGAGAGTGGGGAGGGGAGGCAGATAACGATACCGCTGTGGAGTGTTCCTTTGTCCAACCGGCCTAATTGGAGTCGGAAAGTCGTACAAATACTACCATTACTGCAGTCACTGTGAGTGAGTTATGACACTCAAATCGTAAGTTTGACTTTCTGCTTCGAAATAGATAACTATATTTATGAAAAATTTATGATGCCGAAAAATATGATATAGGAAGAGTTTTAACTAACGTGATTTTAGTTGATTGGTCAAAAAATTTTCAGATATTATATATTTTTTATATTATAATCGATTAATTATTTTATATTTTATATTTTCCATACCATAGTTGATTAATTATTTTGTTTCTTACGTATAGTTATAAATAAGCATTGTAGATTCATGAAAAATATATAATATCCAAAAAAACACCTAAATAACAGATTTGGTAATAAATTAAGTGTTATTCATCAAAATTCATGTATGAATTTTAATTGATCAAAACTTTTTCCATACCATATTTTTTTCACATCATAGATTTTTTATCCACGATAATCAACTTCCGGGGAGGCTTCTTTCTCAAGACGTACCGTTTCAAGAAGCTCCCAAAACGGACTTCCATTAGAAACGTTGGATTGGATTGCCCATGCCCAAACTGAAGTCCAAACCTGTGCGACGCTCGATGGGGTCGAGAAGACCTACAAATGCAAGAACAATACATAAAAGGCAACAAGAAGACATACAAATTAGACAAAAGGCAACTTGTATTGCATTAATCAATAGTAAGCACAAGTACACAATACAGTGTCGAGGGGATCTCATGCTTAACCTTTACATGACTCACTCGACTATCTACCTCCCCTCAAAGAGTACGTTAAGCTTTTGGGGGAGTGACATAAGAAAATATCAAAAGAATGGAAAATCATACTAGGTAATTACAATAATGCCATTGGCACTCCCCCCTTACAAGATACATGCATAGTCCACCCATGACACACATGATGACACTAAGAAGGCACGTTGTAGGCACTCTGATGGCATGACGATAGGTGCTCGATGGTGTGGTGAAGGCGTCACTTGTGACAATATGGCAATAAGCGAGACGCATGAGGAACCCATTTCATGCTGTGAAATGCACCTCCATTAATTTCTTTCTTGCCCAAAGGTGTTTCTTCACCCATACTCCATTATACTTCAAACTGAAATCCTTGGCGCCAGTCCCCTTTTTAACCCACTCACCGGAGGTTAACTCGGTCGATTTCCACTAGCCGACGCCGACAGCCATACCCGTAGGAGGTAAGTACTCTGTAAGTTTTTCTCATTTCTTATATATATTTTGCTTTTTCTCATTTGTTTTCTAACATTCACAGATCTGAACCCGCTGGAGTGGGAGCCTCTTGACGCCGTTTCAAACCCTTGACACCCCCGGAATTCGAAAGCCCTCCAAAATTCGAAACTCTCTGGAATTTGAGTTTTGACTTGAGGCGTTTGGCCATGACTGGAACAGCCTGGGAGGAGGAGTGGGAGCTGTGCAACGACGACGGCTTCGTTTACAAGAGAAAGAAAAAGAAGACAAGATTATATTGTTGCTGCTGCACCACCAGTAGTAGCTTCTGATCAAGTGGTGGAGCAGAGGCAGCGAAGGGAGTGGAAGAAGAGGATGCTACTGAAGCTGAGAGATCAGTTGCGACAAATGAATTTGATCATAATTCCCTTTGTAATGATTGTCATGTATTCTCTCATGAAATATTAAAGGTTTTTTGTCAATATTTCGTCTCTCTTTATTAGTATCTACACTGTAATACAATATCTCTCTCTCTCTCGGAAGAGGCAGTTGGTTTCAGCATGGTAAAAATTTTCAAGTCTTAGGCTTCATTTGCCTTTCCTTATTTCAAGGACTTACCTCTTTTTGGCGCTGGGGGCATTTTAACCGCAAAAAGGAGTCCTTAAACCAAGGAATGCCAAATGTAGCCTTAGACCTGGAAGCCATATCTGCATAGATCATGTAACAACAATGGAAAGCAAAGATGTAAAGGAGCATCAGTGTTGATGAGAGTATATATCTACTGAGTACTTACTACACAACACTATGACTCCTGCTACTACAAATATACAGATAAATACTGTTGGTATTTGGTTATTACCAAAATCCCTCTTCCAGACATAGCAACTATCTAAATGCATACATGAGCAATAAACAAGTGTTAGACACAGTGTATGCCCTTAGCTCCAATCAGCATGATGTACATTATGACATTTATTGTAAATGAATAAAGTACATATTTGATTCCTGTTATTGTGGTAAACTGGACACATATGAGACTCGTGTTAGTTTAGAATATTCACAACCATTGGATAGATCTGGGGAGATTTATATTGCAAAGGTTGATACTGATGTACCGCCAAGTTGGTCGGGGTGGCTTATCTCAGCTGCCAAGGTGAGACATGAGGATGCATGCAGTGTGTATTTTCTTGAAACCCTGAACCAGACCAAAATTTCAGTATTGCCCTAGACCTTGGAGATAGATAGGAAAAATTGGAATGTTACACATGACCCCTAGGCTCGACTATGATACTGCACTAGGTGTCGGATTGGACTGTCTTTGATGTGCCAATCAGTGAGATTCTTAGAGGGGGTCAAAACTTGGGTATGTTGGGACAGTCCGAGAATTCATCTGAGTGGGTGATCATAGTGACAAGATCAGCCCCTTTGTCGAACAAAGTGAATGATCGGGAAAATGCACTCTCTCTGATAGAAACCTAAACTGCCGGTAGTGGATTTCAAATGTGTTTGAAATTTGGTTTTGCAAAATATATTTATATAGAGATATACTTATATATATTATGGTTTCAAATTGTTTGCAAAATGTTTTAATTCCCAGGATCCATGTGAGTAGAAAGTGCAACACTATACCATGCAACCGAGGGAGAGGTCCTCGCTTGTCGAGTAGTATTTGATCATTAAAGGTTGAGAGGTTAAGTGTAAAACCATTGAGGGTTATACCTGATGGGCTAATCTTGCATCTGCCCACAGTCCTTGGGCCTTCATAAGATGGCTGGACCCAAGGATCATTTAGTGTAAATGTTGGACCCATTAAGAGCCCAAAGTGATGAACTCAGCGGTTCACTGTATTCAACAATGAATTCGGCCAGGCCTTGTAACAGAGGCTAGACTGAACCAATGTGGCTGATGTGTAGATCAATGATAGGGTCCCACACCATACAAAGAGAGCTAAGCTAGCCAACATTAAAAGGAAGTGAGCCTGAAAGCTTAATGGGCCTGAAGCCCATTTCAAACTGGGTTAATTGGATTAATTAAATAGGGGTGAATCTGATTATGGATCAGCATATACGGATAAGAGGTTAACTCTTATCCACTTAAAGAATCCAAACCCAAATAAAGATTTGGATCAATGAACTCCTAATTTGATTAGGAATAGTTGATCTTTATCTGCAAATAATATAAGGGATTATTCTTATCACTTAAAGAGTTCATATCCAAATAAAGATTTGGATAATGAGACTCGTAATCATATTAGGAGGTTGTCTCTTTAAGGCTATAAATAGAGAGCAGGGCAGACCTGAAAAAGACACACAACACAGACATTACAGAAGATAACTCAGTTTAACTGATTTTGCCTTCAGTTCTTTTTCTCCTTGCTCTTGCCGCCCTACCTTGTTCGGTCTCCAATTCTTGAAACTGATCAAGATTTGATCTTGATATTGTTTCTTGCCAGAAGAAACAATTTTGAATCTGTGCTCACTACCACATTCAATTCTTGTTGAAGAATCACAAGTTCTTGGTGAAGAACTACCTATTGATCCTACCGCATACTAAGCTGTGTCATCTTCAGTGGAGGGAGGATTTGTTACACTCTTTGGGCCTGAACACCTGCGTCGGGATGAGCTTTTTGTGTGGATTCCGTATCAGGTATATTCCTCCCCAATCTTGGTTTTAGATTTGGTCTGGTTTGGTTACAAGAACAAACCTTGAAAATGCAGTTTTCTAAATTGGGAATTCGATTCCCGAATGAGAGTAAAGAATTTTTTTGAAATTTTGCCCAACCTTCCTGCAGGGCTTGACCACCCATATGACGGATCTCCCATCTTTTCAGTGGTATCAGAGTCAGGTTCAAGTCTTGAACCAAATTATATCATATCTGAATATGCGCAAATGGGTAGAAGGCGTTCTACCCGATTCGCACAGTTAGCATTTTTTTCTGGGAATTGGTTTCCAAATTTTGGGCGGATGATCTGGAAAATAAATCTTTATTATTCTGTTATATTGTTCTGTGAATGTTTCTGGAATATTTGGGCTGCACATGTAATGGAGATCGAATCTTTCGGGTGCCAAGATTGGCACACCCTGCTATTTCTTTTCTATTCAATTTGGTTTGTAGATATTTTTTTTTTTAGACAAATTGTATAGGAATTCGATATGATGTAATAATAGAAAAATTAGGTTTTTCTATTTTATTTCCATTTAGAGATTGTTGGAGTGTGCAACAGAGGAGAAGAAGATTTTGTAGAAAGAAGTTCTACGATCTGCGATTTTGCAGATATCGATTCTACAATCTACGATTAATTGTTCTTTGTAGGTTTACAAGATATCCAAGAAAATCACATTGCAGCCATCTGATTTCATTTTCTTGATAATTTGATTATCTAGATTTAATTTATATTTTAGATCATTATTCTTGAATTAAATCTTGAACTGGACACCAAAACTTGGGCTGATTTAGACCATATTTGGTTCAAACTGGTTGGATCGAATTGTTGGTTCGATGTGGTTGGTTTTTCTGACCCAAATTCGATTTAGGCCAGAGGGTTGATGGCCCACTTCAAGTTTTAATTCGGCCCACCTCTATAAAAACCCAGTTTTAATATGACAAAACTGAATCAGCCCTGATTTAGCTACATGGGTCGAATTGCTTTTTGTATTATAGCCCATGTACCTAGATAATGTTATATGATAATATTATGGGCTCTGTTGGGCTGATACTGATTTAATCTAATTAATTAAGGGTTTTATAGATATTTCAATTGATTGGATCAATTTGTTTCATGCATGTGATGTATGGATGTGTGATATGCTACGTACATGGGCCATAAGTACTTGGTCCATGTTAATTCGATAGTGGCTCTTTCGCA